GCGCCTAAGCACGCTCCTTCGCGTGGCCCGACACATCGCCCCTGGCGCCTAGCACGCTGGAGGTGGAAGCGGGAGGGTGGAAGGAAGGGAGAGGGGCCGCAGAGCGGAGGATGGGAGCTAAGTAGGGCAAGGATTTGACGAGAGGAGTGATATACGATGACGCTGACAAACAGGACTTGGACAGAGCGTGAGAGGGACGAAAGGGCTTCAGGAGTCTTTTGGATACTGCATGAGCCTCTGCACGATTATTTTCACACGTAATTGCCGCGGATATATTCGGGCGAACCTCGTCTCGATCATTGTTGTTGGTGAAACAAGGCATGATGAAGTTGTCGGGATGCGGGGATGCGCATTCATATTGATCTCACTGTTTCTTCCTCTCTCTTGGTTTCGGGGATCCTGGTCATCTATATTCTTCGGAGTTGCTGATTTATGCCAAAGCCATCATTTGTTTGGTGTTCCTCCGCCTGCTCCTTCATCTGCTCTTCCTCCTCCTCTTCCTCCCCGCCTTAACCCCCTTTTGGTACCCCCTGAGCCCATGCGGCAACCGACATTGCTAATTCGTTTGCTGGCTTTTCCAGAATATGACTGAGTGTCAATGCGGGGAGGGGGTACACGTGGAAATATATATCAAGACCATCTGAGAGGGGAGACTGACGTCCACGAGGCGGCGGGCCTTCTTCCCTCGCCCCTCCGCGCCCCTCCCACTCCCTCTTCGTCCCCCTCCCTTTCTCACTCTCCTCCCCTCCAGTCCCGCCCCGTCCTCCTCCCTTTTTTGTTTCTCTCGGGCCAGGGAGGCATCAAGAGCCAGAGGGCCTACTAAGAGGCCCGCAAAGGAGGCCTCATCAAGAGGGCCGTCCTCTTGATGACCCCTCTGTTGCAACCTATCTTGATGGCCTTTTTGGGGCCCTCTTTTGCCAAACCACAGTCGGGGGCCATCTCTGCCCCGCAGACGCACCCAAGTGACAGTGTAGGTGGCTGGAACCAGACAGCGGGGCGCGTGGTGCCAGTCGCCATGAGGGATGCGCCGTCCTGTCAAGAAAGAAAAAGGGGGGGGGGACTTCCCGGGGCGCGTTCTGACCAGTCCGACGGTCCCGAGGCCGCTCCTGCGGCGCGTTCTGACCAGGATTCCGACGATTCCGAGGCGAGCCCAGCCGCTGCGACGAAGGTCGAATATCACGGTGAATCACCGCCGCCCCAGCCTTTTGGAAACGCCTAGATGCCTCGAGGGCTCCAAAGGTTCCAAGAACTCGCGGGAAGCGAGACAAGGAGATGAGGACATCGCGGTGTGAATGATGGAACTATGAGGTCATCCCAAAAACGAGATATACAACACAGAAGGAAGCCAGAAGAGCCAACATATAGCAATAGGCGGAACTCTATGATCAAACATATAAGGAATTCGCGCATACAAACAATGAACGATTATAAATTCTGGATACGGAAGATACAGAAACGAAAAATTCGCAGTGATACGTGATAACGATATGAAGGAACTCCTGACAACGCAAAAGGAAAACATTGGGAATCGTGGTTACGCGAAATTAAACGATTAGGAAAGTGCGGAGATGAGGTATCGACGGATAAGGAAATTTATGGATTGTAAATATAAAACACAGAAAAACGAAGCGCGGTGCGATTAACAAAAAACAGAAAACCAAAACGGCGCCGATTTAAATGGCAGATGATTTCATCCCTTTGTTGGCCTCCCCAGGCGTGGCGACGCCCTCCGCCCTTGGTCACGTCACGATTCGCGCCGGCGCCATCTAGAATTAAACCATGATTAAGCATCCCCAAACGTTTTTGGCACGAATCGTGATATTACCGCCCTTCCCCCCGCCCGGCCACGCATATCACCACCAGGGCATGAGACTTACTCTGGCGAAAGGCCCAGCCATCTGCAGCTGCGAGTACCGCGTTATGGGTACGGCTGTCGGTGAAGCTCCGCATGGGGCCACGAAGCGTGTGATGGATGTGTCGACATCGGCGCAGTGGTGCCAAGCGAGCGCAGCCACTGGGGCCACGAAGCGCGTAATGGGTGTGCCGGAATCAATGCGGTGGTGCCATTCGAGCGCAGCCATTGGGGCCCTCGGTGGAACTCCCTTTGGGGCCACCGAAGGTGTTAGGGATGTGCAGAACTGGGCGCGGCGGTGCCATGCAAGCGCGGCCACTGGGGCCTTCGGTGGAGCTCCCTGGTGGGCCGCGAAACGTGTAAGGGGTGGGCTGGAATCGGTGCGGTGGCGCCATGCGAGCGCACCCATGGGGGCTTTCGGTGGAGCTCACTTTGGGGCCACGGAACGGTTGGGGGTGTGCGGAAATGGGCACGGTGGTGCGCCATCCAAACGAATCCTTTAGGGCATCGTTTTTTTTGTTCTCATTCCGCCTCAAGGCGTGCAGCGCGCCCCGATGTGCTCCTGCGGCCAGCAACGGGCACCAAACCAACTTGGCCCAGCGCTGGAGGCTGACAATCGGCCAGCGTCCCGACAGACTGCCCGACACAGACTCGCCAAGCGCCTGCACGCGCGGGCTCAGAGGGAAGAACACCGTTCGCACAAACGTCCGCTCACGGGAGCGGCCTTCCGCTCTTGGGGTTTTACCCCCTCCCCAGCGCGCCAGATCCGCTAGGGTCCTCAGCCTTAGGTCGGGCCTGTCCCCCTACAGGGGGATTTTGAACGAAAAATAAAAAATACCCCATAAATGCTCCAAAAATGCTCAAAGTAATCCAAAAAATTGTCCCCCGACTATTTTTTTGACTATTTTTGAGCATTCCTCCTATAGGGGGACAGGCCCGACTTAACCTTAGCCGTGCCCGTGCCTCGGCTTGGGGCGCTGAGGCCATCGCTACCCGACCGTGGGCACCGCCCGGCTGTCTCAGCAGCTGCCTCTGCATCGCCCTGCTCCCCCGCGGGGGCCTGGGATCTGCCAGCCCCGCTGCCGCACCCGGCAGGCAGCCATTGAGGCCTTCGGTGGAGCTCCCGATGGGGTCACGAAGCGTGTAAGGGGTGTGCGGACATGGGTGCCGAGGTGCCATGCGAGCGCAGCCATGCGGGTCTTCCGTTGAGCACCCTATGGAGCCGCGAAACGTGTAAGGGGTGTGCCGAAATCGGCGCGCTGTTGCCATGAGACGCTTCCGCGGGGGCCTCCTGTGGAACCCCCTGTAATACAACGAAGCGTGTACGGGGTGTGCCGGAACTGGTGTGGCGGTGCGGTGCGAGCGCAGCCAGTGGAGCCTTCGGTGGAGCTCCCTTTGGATCCACGAAACGTGTAAGGGGTGTGCCGAGATGGGCGCGGTGGTACAATGCGAGCGCAGCCACTGGGGCCTTCGATGGAGCTCCCCATGGGGCCACGAACGGTGTCAGGGATATGCCGAAATCCAAAAGGACTGAGGCAGGGATGGGGTGAGCGAGAGGGCAGCGGGAAGGGGTGAAGTGGGGCGCTGTCTCTTTAAAACAAAAACCCAACACCACAGGATGGTTGGAAAAGCATGTCAGCATGTCTGTGCTCAAGTGTCCTCACGATGTACCTGTATAATCACAATCCCTCTTGAATCACACTAGGCTCGCGCTCCCAAAACCACTTCCCCTTGCAAATTGCACTGGGTCCACGCTCCTCAGGAGAGAATCCTTTGTAACCCTGCCCGGAGTGACCCCAAGTGGCCAAAAAAACAGCAAGAGGACAACATATCACTATATGCGCCCCCTGGGGGGGGCTCCAGAAGGCTCCACTATGCCCCTCCAAACAAGGAATAAGGCCCAGACATTTGCCTGATGACTCAAAATAGACCCCATGGACCCACGAGAGAACAGATGCCGAGCGAAACGAGAGAGGCCCCCTGGGAGGCGAAGGATGGCGACAACTGAAAGACTCGTAGCAGGATGACGATGGGGATGGCGTCCAATGATCCCTCGATGCTCGGGGCAGTGGGGCCGGCGTCGGTGGCCGAAGGCCTCCGAAGGATTTGCCAGAAAACGAGGCCGACCACCTGTGAGATGGCCGAGCCCGTCGACAGCCCCGAGGAAACCCTCAGAGCGCTTCGGAACTCCGGCCCCAAAGGGAGGCTGCGACCGAGCCCGGCCCCTCGCAAAGTGCCCTCAGCCACTCGGCGTGTCTTCGCGTGCGGTGACGGTGCGGCCGTCGGGCGAGCACATCACCTTCTGGCAGCAAAGGGGGCAGCACTGGCGCTTTCCCCGGGCGTGGGCGCCCGATTCCGACAGCCACCGCGCCGCGCACACCGTGTGGAACGCGTGCTTGCACGGTCCGCCGCCGTGTGAGAAACCTCTGCACGGCAGTGGAGTGTCAGAAGGGTTGTTGGTTGCCGGGCATCGGCTGTCGATGGTTCTCTGGGGGCGCCCCTCCTTCTCTCCGTCTTCGAACGCCCCCTCCTGATGGTTGCTGTCCGTCGCCCTCTTCGGTCTCAAGACGGCTCCAGGACGGCCCAAGACCGCTCCAGGACGACCAATCACAGGACGGCCCCAGACCAGCCCAAGACGGCCCAACGACCTCTCGAGCTTCAATGGCTTCACCATGCTGCCCGAGACGCCACAGGAAACCTCCAAGATACACCCAGCAAGGCCCGAAGGTGCTTCAGATCACCTCGCAAGAAGCACTCAAAGATGGACGGCCCAAAGAGTGACCAATGTTCCCCCAACACGACCCAAGTCTGCCCCGAGCGGCCTACAAAACCACCCAAAGACCAGTCCAGACGTCCCCAATGTGGCTCAACTAGAGCTCTTCGGCGAGAGCCTTGTAGAACATTCGCTCCAAAACGGCACTGATACTGCCGACAAGCCCCGAGAGCGCCGACAGATCCCACGAGGCCCTCCAAAGAGCCCCGAGAAGATCCAACTACGTCCGAAAGACAGCCTACTGGAGGCAGTCAAAGGTGAGGACGGGAGGGGGGACCCGACAGAAGAAACGCGCCAAGTCACACGGGGCACTGAACTGCAGCAAATCTCTGGCTCGAGCCGCGACGGGTCTTGCCGTAAGGCGGCCAGACAGCTGCACCAGAGTTTCCCCAGGCTCGACCTGGACATCCGATGTCTTGAGTTTCTCAATGCGGTGTCCCCAAAGGCCTGGACCTTTGCCGCAGGGCCCGCTCTTCATCGTGAATCCGTCTTTGACAATACCAGGGCCCGGCGAAGGCCCCCTGAGGCCAAGACCGGCGAACAACTTCCCGCGCTGAGTTTCTCAAGACTTTGGGTGTCAGTGGACGTCGTCGATGCAGATCGCGCACTGGTCGACGCCGCAGTCGCTGGCCTTCACGGTCGGGAGGCGCGAGAACGAGCTGGCGGAGTTCGAGCCCTCCTGCTCAAGCCGAAGCTGGATGCCGCCCTGCTTCTGCAGCCGGCTGCCCGTGGCGGCGATATCCTCGAACCAGCTCGGCATCGCGTTCGGCGGCGGGCTGTCGGGGCAATGCCAAGGGGGATCACCACTGGGAGGGTCGCCATTTCCTCGAGGCCAGGTCCTGCAAGGAGCAGGCCCCAAGGACGCTGTGGAGTCCCCCAAACCACCCCGAACGTCCCAACAACCTCCTCGAGCTTCTGTCCTGGAACCTCGATTTTCAAACGGAACCGGTGACCTCCCGCATAGTGACCCCCTTGGCACTGCCCGAGCTGTTGGAGATCGTGAGAGCAAGTACGCCGGGTCTGCTTAACTCCTCCAAGATGGGCCAGTAGCCCCTGACGCCGTTCACCTCCGTGATGATCTGCCCGGGGTACAAGCGCCGCTGGTTGGCCTCGTTCCACCGGGCGACGAGTCCGCCCTCGGGGATGTTGAAAATGACCGCGCCCGTGGACGTGTTCCCGAGACCGACCCCCAACGTGTCGCCCTCCTGCTTGTGAAGCGTCAAGCCCCACTCCGGCTTCCCGGTGGCCTCGCTGGGGCGGGCGAGACTGCCGAGAGCGTCGGGGTGCGACCTGCGGCGCCCACAGGTCAGAGCCAGAGGCATCTCCTCCGGCAACTCGCAGGCAGCTCTCGCTCGGCACGGCTGTCTTGTGATATCGGCCCTCGGCCGCCCAGTTGCTGAGGCCTGAAGCCCAAACGGTTAATGGTGTGGGGGGAGGAGGACCCAATTCGAGACCAGCAGAAAGGGAAGAAAGACAATCATAGGCCTTCGCACTCATGATCGTCTTCAACGCGATTCGGGGCCGGATCCGTATCAGAATGGTCGAGAGGGGCATCATAGCCGCTTCAACATTGCCAATCCATCCATTATGTTTTCACCGACATCATTCAACGCGCAGCATGCTCTTCCCGACAACGGGGTTCCATTAGATGGGCTCGGAGGATCGCGCCACATCAGCGATGCATCGCCGATGCGTCGGCGATGTATCGACGCTGCAGGCGTAGAAAACATCGGGTTCCGCCGCATCGCCGATGCATCGGCGATGCGGCGCGATCCTCCGACCCAACCTACTTCGCCCCCCGCAGAGTGGTCTGGTGTCGCTGGCCCCTTGAGCTCTCGACCTCTTTCCTGAGACCTGTTCTTCATCCTGAGCCGTCCTGTGGACGGCGCCGGGGTCCACAGTGTCCGCCCCCGCCTCCTGCCCCACACGAGACGCGCAAGCGACGAGGGAAGGGCGCAACCCCAGAAGCGTCCCCCAATGGTGTGACCAAATGCTTCACACATAACCATTTCTAATCTGGTCGCTGGCTGCGGCCAGGCTGCCTCGACGGCGACGACGACAAGAAACCGGGATTCTCTTTTCAATCGTCCACCTCCCAGTGGGGTGCTGCAAACCCCAGGAGAACCCAGAATCGGGTCGATAAGTCGGATCGGCGATCGAAATAACTCAGATCGGCGGAAATATACAGGCAAGTCGGGAGAAGCCGAATCGGCGGAAATCGGCAGGCGAATCAAGGCCTCCATTGCGAAATCAAAATCCAAATCGGAATCCGACGTCGAATCGAATCGGAATCGGAATCGATCGGAGTCGAATCGAGTCGGAAGAATCGAAAGGAACACAGGACCCCCCTGGACATTTTTGAAATCCCACCAGACCTCTGGGCGTAGGTGGTCTAACGATATTATGTCTTTCCTCTTCTAAAAATCCCTCGTCCCCTTCGGGGAAGGGTTTATCACTGTCCCCTATTAGTAAACACCCCCTCCCCCAGGCGACCGGGGGCCAACCCAGGTCCATGCCAACACCCCCCCACAATCCCTTGTAAAAACAATGCAAACACACACACTCTGCCTCCAAATTCGGAACATGCGCAGCCAACCCGATGCGCCCCCCCACCATCCCTGTCAAACAACAATACAGAGTACACTTGGCGGAGGCGGCGGCGGCTGCGGGCGGCTGCGGCGGCGGCTGCGCGGCGGCGGCGGCTGCGGCGGCTGCGGCGGCGGCGGCGGCGGCGGTGGCGGCGGTGGCGGCGGCGGCGGTGGCGGTAGCGGCAGCGGCTGCGGCGGCGGCGGCGGCGGCGGCGGCAGCGGCGGCGGTAGCGGCGGAGGCGGCGGTGGCGGCAGCGGATTGGCCCCCAGTAGCTACCCATACAAAAACGACTGCTGAATATGCTGAGGCTCGGGCCAGACTCGGGTGCTACGTATGTGTTGGGAGGGCGGATGGGAGTGAGCGAGACGGCTTGCGGGCGGGGGGGGGTCTTGACCCCTCCCCCTACCCCCTCCCCTGACCTTTTTCGGCGGCGGTCGCGGGTGGCCGGAGGGTCCTTTTTCGGCCCCTGGGAGTGCCAATGTTTGACACCCCGGCCCCCGACGGGGGGACCTCGATCGGGAGATGTTTGCCTTCTCGCCGATTCGCTTCCGATGCGCTTTGGGGGCCTCAAGATGGCCCAAGAAGGCCCCAAGAGGGGCCCATGATGCCCCTAAGACGGCCCCAACAACGCCCAAGAGCGCCCCGAGAGGGCTCCAAGAGCGCCCCAAGAGGCGGTTTTCACTGCCCCAGGGGGGGACCTAGATCGGGACAGGGCTCCCAAAAGAGCAACAACACAGCCCCTCTTGGGCTCGAGCAAGGCCCCAAGAGAACCCCAACACGCCCCCAACACGCCCCCGAACGGCCTCAGCGAGCCCAAGATGACCTCCAAGATGGCTCAGATAACCCAAGCTGGCTCAAGATGGCTCCCACATGCTCCAAAGGGCCCCAAGAGCTCTCCAAGAGCGCCCCAACAAGCGGTTTGCTGGCTCCTGAAGGGGGAGCTGAGTTGGGGAGTCCCCCATCCTGTAACCGATGGCGTCCAAGATGATCCCAAGAAGCCTTCCAGGGTTGCCAAGAGGGTTCCAAGACGGCCCCCATACCTCTAGATGGTTTCATGAGTCCTCGTGCGCATCGTGCTCATCCTCTAGTCCTCGTCCTCCTCCTCGTCATCATCCGCGTCCTCGTCCTCCTGGTCCTCGTCCTCCCCGTCCTCCTCGTCCTCCTCGTCCTTTTCCTCCTCCTCCTCCTCCTCCTCCTTCTTTTCCCTCTCCTCCTCCTCCTCCTCCTCCTCCTCCTCCTCCTCCTCCTCCTCCTCCTCCTCCTCCTCCTCCTCTTCTCTCGCCCCGACGCGGACCCAGGGATGGCCCTAATAGGCCTTCCAAGGCCCCCCCCTTTGCCCCTCGGTTCACCCTGGTTGCTCGCCTCGTTTCCCTAGATGTGTCTGTTCGTCCCTTTTCCCGTCAGCTCTCATTGGCAGGGTTTCTCACTGGGCTGGTGGGGATATTTTTTGTCGCATCCGCAAGCGAAAGCGCAGGCGGCGTCAAACGGGACGGGCGGGCCACGCGCGAACCGAACAACTGGTGGGGATATTTCTGTTGTCGCGGGCGGACGCGGATTCGCAGTCGCCGGGCTGAGAGGTCCGGGCCACGGGCCTGTCAAATGGGCAACGCGCTAGCATAAGAGCACAGCGGCCGAGCCCGGAATCAGAACCTACCGCCGGTGAGGCCACAGGCTGAAGAGGAGCTGGCTGAACTGACTGCAAACGGCCAAGGTAGCTGATGCACCATGCGAGAGAATTGGCTCCTGCACGCCAGGAGAGGCCGCGACCTGTTCTGTACCAACAGACCACACGTCAGCCGAACGGGGCGGTGCCACCAGACGGGCGAACCCGGTGAAGCGGCGCGCAGCCAGGAGAACGGAGCCCGAGAGGTGCGAGCAGTATGAAGCGTGAAGAATCGTCTGGTCCCATGAATCCCCGAAAGCCCTGCTGACGCTTGCCTTCGCAACTGCCCTGGCCGTGCGCGACGTGAGCAGGTGGGCGTCTTCTCCGCTTCTCCAGCTTGCGAGAAGCAGTTGCGGTATTGTTTGAATCGAAGGTACACTGGCCGAGCGTCTCAATGTGTGCTGTTTTATCACATGGTTTGGAGGATGGTTTCTATAACTCTGAAGGGTGCCCCAGTTTCCCCCGCCCGCCTGCGCTCCAGGTGGTGTCGTCGCCACCTCTCGCTCCTGCTCGTCCCTTTGGCCGTCGCCCGGGCTTCGCCCTCCTCTCCTCCTCCCCGCATCGTTCCCCTGTCGCTCGCTCGCTCTCCTCCCTCCCCCGGCTCCGGGTTCGTCCTGATCCCTGGGTGTCGTTGCCTTCCGTGCCTCCTGCTGCCGCTGCTCTCCCGGGTCGTCCACCTCGCGGGCCTTTTGGCGGGTTCGGGCATCCATGCAACGATTTTGAACAACCCCTGCCCTTGAAGCCGAAACACTGGCGGGGAGGTCTGAGTGAACTGATTTAAGGAACCGAACTTTATACACCGACGTTTTTTCTTCCGGTCCCGCACCGGGATTCGCACAAGAAAACGGATGATAGTGTATACGGCATCCTGGTGTATACATGTTTTGTTGTTTCCACTGGAAAACGGGGAAACAAGTATACACCACACCACCCCAACGTCGTCCCCGACCCTCAAAAAAGTCCTTGGGTTGAAAAACCGCCCGCCACTGGCAATGTATATGTTGCAGTTTCCGATGATTGGCAGCCCAGACCGCAATGGCGTGTGAAAAACTGTGCGGATGTGACTAGCAAGGTGAGCGCTGGCGGACACGAGAGCGAGAGACGGGAGCGGCACAAGGCGGAAACGGGCACGCGTGGGCGGACCTGTCGACAGGATGCGGGCTACGATTAGGAGGAGGAGAAGGAGCCTCGTTCGTCCTTCATGTTTTGGTTGTTCTCTCTCTATCTCTCTCTCTCTCTCTCTCCCTCCCTCCCTCCCTCTGTCTCTCGCTCTCTCTCTCTCTCTCTCTTTCTCTCTTCCTTTCTCTCTCTCTCTCTACACACACAGATCTATACACATCACTCTGTCTCTGCCTCTCGCTCTCTCTCTCTCTCTCTATATGTGAGCAGGGGTGGTTTCGACACAATTGGGCTGGATCAGCGAAAACAAACGGACATGACGACACCGATGCTTGGCGGAAGAGGGTTCCAAGAGGCCCGTGAAAGGATTCATGTGATCGCGTGATGATGGGCCCCTGATTAACACAAAAACAGGAACTGCCCAGGTTGGCCACAAACTCACAGCTCTCTGACGCTACATCGCAAATTTTGAGCCACGTCTACATCGCAGGGCGGAGGGGGGAAGACTGGGAAGGGGCATGCCACTCCTTGATGAACACCTCGCCCCGATGTTTGGCCGCCGCAAACGCCGCGGCGACCTCCAAAACCGACCCATGGGTTTGGTTCGGGGGGTCGGATACGGTAAAAATCCAAAACAAGGACGCAGATAAGGATGCAAGGCCCTTGGACGTCCAATTTGGACGTCGCTCGACATCTAAATTGGCTCAGGGAAGATCGAACAACGCAAATATGCAACTATAACCTTGCAACATGCTGCGTTCGTGCTACGGTTGTGACAGCGTCACGCAACGATCAAGAGCCCACAGGTGCCGAAGATGGCCGCAGCTGGTTGCCAGGCGGCCTGCCGCCAGGAGGCCCCAAAGTGCCAACCAAGAACGCAGGAAGGTCCAGGGCTCCAGCTAAGAAGTGCTCCGTTGTCGTTGTGTTGTCGTGCTTCCTCGCACCGTCTTCGGTCCGCCCCTGCTGCAGGACGAGACCTAAACGAAAACGGCCGACGAAATTGTCGATGAGCACTCGCGTTAAGTCGGGCCT